CATTTCTAACCTTAGGTCCCTGGGCGGAAAGAAATGTGTAAACGCCAGAAATCAAAGAAAATAAAAATAATATTAGTAATAATAATAATAAATAGATAGATAGATAGATAGATAGATAGACAGACAGACAGACACATTAAGGAGACCGCTGATAGCCTATGCCTTAAGAAAATACAAAACTGGACTTAGGTCACTGCTTGGGGCCCGGAATCAAATTTTTATACAACAGTGCATATTGTTTCATTATTGTATACAATAATAATAATAATAATAATCAAGAAAAATAATAAAGTAGATAATAAGGCTAATAGCATTGATTGTATATTACTAAGTCTTTTGACCAAATGGAAGCATAATTAGAAAGATATTAATATTCGGAATTTTCGGACACGCCTGTGTCATTTGTCAACCAGACGAGAAATAAAGAAAAAATGAAGTGGGACTTTTTTCCTAGGGGATTTTTCCCTCGAGATTTATGTTAATTAAAAGATCTAGTGGTTTAAGGCGAGCTGTTTGACCCCAATTAGGGTCATAGATGGTTTGTAGAAGTCTGTCTGTGGAAACTATATTCTTTAAATATGTCTAAATTCCTGTTAAAACATAAAGTGTGTGAATTGAGGCATTTTACCTCGGACTTTCGGCGTTTTTGTTTGGCATTTAAATAAAAACGCTAAAATGATTCATCTAATGTTATCAACGGTTGGTCGAAATGTGCAGCTCTAAAAAATAGATATTATTCTGGTGAACTTTCCTCTATCGTACCTAGGCAGTGAATTTATTCGCAGTACTAGGTTGGTGGTAAGATCTCATCATTTTACAGTTGAAATTGCTAGACGGAAACGGCCTTTTTGCAGTAGGCTAACAACCTACTCATTTAAAAACTAGCTTATTTCAGAAACGTCAACGATATCTTCAAACAACGACATGGCTGAGGAAGAGTCCTCCAAAAGTGGCGCGTATGATGCATTCTGGTGAAAATCCCCCCACACCCCGCCCGGGGAAGGCAGCCGACAGGACATGGGCCGAGCTGATGAGGATCGCCCGGAACCGCATCCGTTGGAGAGATGATGCTGCCGTCCTATGCACGACCGTATAGTAGATTTGTAAATGTGCAAAATGGATTCTATCACGAAAAAATTTATGGCACGGCAAAATGTACCAACGTTCCAAGATGCAGCTAGTGATTAAATGTAGGTGTTGCACTGCAAATCAGTTCAAAACGTGAGGCCAAGAAGGCGCTGTGTGACGCTCTCTACGAGTTGTGCATCAGACAAGGTAATCGCGGGCAGGTAAGTTTCTCTGTCGTGTTTAAATGAGAGCAGATTCGTCTTGGAGGCATTCAAATTTACAAGCCATTTCCTGCCCCAGTTAACCACTGATTGGGGGTTCTTTTCAAGAGCATCAGCCAGGTTAACTTAGTCATCTCTGATGGATTTGCTATTGAGACAGTAGTGAATAATAATGTCATCTGCATAAATGCCTAATTGGGAAATGATGACATCAGAAAGATCATTGATGAGGATCAGAATCAGCGGAAGATCCAGGATAGAGCCTTGGAGAACACCCGCGTTCGTGCGAAAGGATCTGGAAGCGAACCCGTTTAGAATGAAATTCATTTCACGATTTGATAGGAATGATTGGATGAAATCAAGCAATCGTCCTGTAGTAGCGTAGATCTGAAGCTTACGTAGAAGACCAGCATACCAAACCCTGTCAAACGCCTTTGAGATATCTAAAGCCACAGCTCGAGCTTCGCTGTTATTATCAAGAGATTTATGTAAATATTCAGTGATGGCTGTAAGCACGTCATCGGTAGACCAGGCAAAATGGAAGTCATATTGTTTGTCAGAGAGAAGGTCGTGAGAAGTAAGTTGCTTGACCACTTTAGCGTTGATTAGATCCTCTTTGCCGAAAAGCGGTAGGATACTGTGGCAGTGAATGCTGGACAGTCGCTTCACAGATGAAGAAAAGACTTAAGGCAACACAAATGTTCTACAGAAGAATGCTGAGGATACCACGGACTGAACATGTGAAAAACTTCGAAGTTTAAGAGAAAAAGGAATAAAAATGGACATATACACTTAACACCAGGAAGAGACAGTTGAAATTTCTTAGGCCAACAATCAGGAAAGAAGTCTTAGAAAATTTAACAGAAAAGGAAACTGTGGAGAACCATGATCGCCACCATCTTGGGTAAAACGATAAACTACAACGCGTTCTGGGTAACAGGATAGACTACACCCGGCAGCAAGGCTTCTGTTCAGGAGGTTTTGAGGAACGTGGAACCACCTCTTGCTGGTGCTCCTAGGTCCACTCTGACCCGGAGTGGTAGAACCTGTTAGGGTCTCAGTTATCGGCAAACTAGTGTCAAAACACTATGAAAGTGTAAAAATGGGTTTTAATACCAGCAATACATTTTTGTAAAAATATATCGCTCTTTCCATTAATGTTGGGGAGTTACTTCCTTTTATTTGACAAAATCTTTATTATTTTATTTTCTCTTCTCAAGCCAGTAGATGTTATCCTCGTTCGGTGATGGAATTTTCCTTCTAACCTTTTATTTGAAGTCTTTATTATCAATATATTTTCTTTTGATTATTTTCTCTGTCTCAAGCCTTTTTTATGTTATATACTAAATTTTGTTTATCACTGTTCCATATTGATGGATGTTTCCTTCCTAACCTTTATTTGGAAGTAGTGTAATTACGTCAATCCATTTGATAGGTCTCAAGTGTTGCGTTTATTTTGCTATTTGCTACCGTTCCTTGTTTGTGATTCTGTAGCGCCAGTCCACTCGGTGCGAACAAGTGTGGTCTTTGGCAAAATCTACAGGCTTAACTCGTTCAAAGCCATTTTTAACTATTGATCTTAGAAAGATGTATACAACTGCCAATTTAGATATTTCTGAATGGATTTAGCTCCATGAATGACATCCATATGAAAGTTTCAATCTGATGAGGCTATTTAAGGAAATGATTCGCGTTTTCCTATTAATGTTTTTGTTTTGTAGCAATTGGCGGTATTGTGTGAAACTAAATCTTTTCTATGTTACTATACTAAATTTGTTTTAACTGATCCAAGCACTGAAGTATCTGATGTGTTTAATATTTTCTATTTCCCGCCCAGAATATTTTATGATGGATTCAGCGCAGGTGATGCCATTAATTCTTTCCATCCAATGCCAGATTATAGCTTCTGTTTTGGAAAGGTTGATTTTGAGTCCTATTTTTTGAAACACTTGGTGTGCCTCGCTGCTCAGTTTGAAAGCTGGTTATGTACTAAGATTAACCCTTTGAGCCCTGAACACCGCTTTACGGGGAGTAGAAAAAATGACGTAATGCCCAGTCAGCGGTTGAACAGCGGTAGAGAAAAATGATTTAATGCCCAGCCACCGGTTGAACGCTGGGTAAACACTTGTAATAATTTTTATATCTACCGTCAAACACTACATTATTTGCGAATTTTGAGCTCAAACAGAAGGGTTATAATTTTTAGGGACGCAAGGCTCAAAGTGTTAAATTATTCAAATGCTAGTACAATAATTAGTACCCCATAATTACGGCTTATGTAACTAATTATGTAAAAAGAGCTGAGGATCGTATTCTTTACACGCACATTAGTAATGGTCAGTCGCTCCACAGCAATTACACAACAACGAAGATGTTTGCATACTATGGTTCATCCAAATTTTTTCTCCCCGGAATCGATCCTTCAGATCTACAAATCAACAATTCGCCCTTGCATAGAGTATTGCTGCCACATATGGTCTGGAGACCCTTCTGTTTGCCTCGGGGTTCTTGATAAGATCCAGAGGCGGATATGCAATATAATTGGCCCTGTGCTGGCATCTCGTCTACAGTCACTCACTCACAGACGCGCCGTCGCCTCTCTCTCTGTCTTTTTTACAAATACTTTCATGACAATTGCTACGAGGATCTGCATTCGCTGGTTCCCAGACTTCATGAGTTCAAGCGCCCGACGAGGCTGGCATCCCGCTCTCACCCTTTCACTGTCGAAACTATTAAATGTACCCATATCTTCTGATCCAATAGCTTCATATCTTGCACCTCTCTCCTGTGGAACTCCCTTCCCTATTCCAGTTTCCCTGAGAGCTATAATCTCCAACTATTCAAATGTAATGTCAATCGACATTCTCCAGTTGTCTTGATCTATCCCCTGTCCTTCTCCTCATCCTTTCCTCTATCACTTCTATCTGATCTTGCTACAAATCTTCTGTAACCCCTTGCGTCCTAGTGGCTTCCCGCCTTGCTTGGGGTGAAACGCTTAAAAAAATTACTAGACTCAACTGACGCTCAAGATAGATGGTTACTGAATAAAATATAAACATAAAAGGAAAAAGAAATGTACAGTTTTCCATTGTTTATTTTTATAAAGATATTTAGCTGTTTCTTGTTTGGTTGTTTATGGCTGTACACATTTACGCAATGAGTATAGTGTTATAAAGATACATTTATCATTCTCTTTTACTATTTTAACTAGAAGATGGGATAAAGAGATAAAGGAAAGAGGTTAGTATATCGTAATTTGGTCTCTCAAAAAAGGAACTCACATGATACACAAGCTACATGGTAAAATCATTTTTTATAAATGAAAATTTGTGGGTTGCATGATACACAAAATCACACATACGAGGATATAAAACACTCCAATGTATGCGAGTTTTTTATTTTTATTTTCGTTATCTACTATATAATAATTGCCATTGTGTATTTATTTATTTATATCTTTCATGTCACAATCTATAGAAAGAAGAAAGGTAAATCAACTTAAGGGAGGGAATTTATGAATCATTCCTTCCTGCAGTCATTTAATAATCTATACACCTAAAATAATTTATATTTATCTAGTAAAAATTTGACAACTTCCTATCGTTTGTATTCAGTGGCAACATCCTAACAGTTTGCAGGAACCAATAATAAAAATTTTAAAAGCTGAATGAACCGGTCGTTGGATTAATCAAAAATAATCTCTATCTATAAAAGGCAGGATGTGTGTGTGTGTGTGTGTGTAACAAATGCACGGCCGCAATTTTCAACGGATTTACACCAAAATTTACATGCAGATGCTCCAAGTTAGCAGGAAAGGCCAAGACTGACTTTGCATTTCCCAACTCCCATCAATAGTAGAAATAATTGATATTTTCATGCTTCTACGGCAGTTTTCATGTAGTCCACGGCCATTTTCTACTGGCCAGAGTGAGAGCCTATAGCTGGTTGCCACTAATAAGCAGGAAGATTCTATTGGTCAGTGTGAGAGCCAACAGCTGACTGACATGAATGTTAACTAGCATGCTGGTATGGAAAAAAAAATTGATAGCTGCATTCGTCACAAGTGGGAAAAATTTAAATCTGCATGGCACTTTACTCCAATTGGCTCATTCACTTCCTTAAACTCAACGTTGATTCTGATTCTGCAGAACTGGGTTGGGTGTGGAAAAGTATATGTTGTTAACATTATTTTTTCATTCGGATTTTTCCAGTCACGAGTCATTTTTTTAAAGCTGATCGTTTTGTGTTCATTTTGTTTAGTTCTTTCTTTGTAACAGATTTAATGTTTAGTATAGAGCTTAGTAAAAATTCGCAGTGTGAGATAGGCAAGAAGTAAGGCATGTAGCAACATCAGCACAGCAAAGGGCACTCCTTTAATGGTAAAGAAGGGCAAAAATATTTTAAGTCAAGTGATAGCGATTACTGTATGAGTCGTACAATTTTTGAATCGAGCATGGGCAATGCCGCGTCATGCTGCTAGTCTTATATATTAGTAGCTGACAGTTGAGGCAAAATATTAGTTACACTACATTCACACCGAATGAAACTCTAATAGACACATGCCTCATACAGTTTTGATATTAAAAATGTGGCAAATTTTCTGGTCATAAATTTGATAGTCCTCCATTGGATCTGTAGCGATTCAGTTCAAATGTGGTTAAGAAACTATAACACGGTTGATGACACTAGGGTAAAAAAAGCATCATACTTCTGAACAGAAATAGGATGAGAACAGAATTTCAATCTGGAAATATCATAATAAATAAATATTTCCTATTAAATTATCAAAATGGTTGAATTATTTTTCATACAATATGGAGTAATGTTTTCTTTCTCAGATTGAAAAGAAACTAAACAGAATAGATTCCTAAAGATTACCTGTCTTTATAGAACCAGTTTCAGGAAATTTAGAATGCCGCCACCATTTGTAGCTGTAAGCAATCTTTATCTCCTGTTCTTGTTCTATTGTCCATCTTCAAAACGTCCTTACGTTATTCAGTTTTCCTACTATATAATAATTACTGTTGTGTTTTTATTTATTTATAACTTTCATGTCATAATCAGGAAGAGAAATAAATCAAATTAAGGTAGTAAATTTATCAAGGTTCTTTTCTGTAGTCATTTTAATAATCTATACACCTAAAACTTCTATATATCTAGAAAAACTGACCTGGGTAAGACAATAAATTACGTCCAACAGCAAGGCCTCTGATCAGGAGGTTTTGAGGAGCGTGGAACCACCTCTTAATTGTTGGTGTTCCCAGCTGACCTGGGGTGGTAGCACCTGTTATGGTCCCAGCTATGGGCAAATTAGTTAACACCCAAACTTGTGTAAAAATAGGTTTTAATACCAGAAATACTTTGTAATAAAAAAAAATATTACCAGCAATAATATTTGTAGGAAAATTTATTATCAGCAATACTTAAAAAAAAAAAAAAAGTATTAGCAATACAAACAGCTATACATTCTTTAAAAAATATATGACCAGTTATAGATTTTTTCAAGGAAAAATATTCCCAGAAATAGATTTTTGAAGAAAAACATATTACCAGCAATAAAAATTTTGTCGGTATTAAATAACCCATTGAGGTTGATATGTTGTAAAACAAACCAAACCAAACCTATATCTAGTAAAAATTTCATAACTTCATGTCTTTTGTAGCTCTAAGCAATGTTTATCCCTTTCCTGTCTGTCTCAGTTCTTTTTGTACCATCCATTTACACAAGTTCATTATGTAGGTTACTCACTGTTTCCTTCCATATAATAATTACCATTGTGTATTTATTTATTTGTATATTTCCTGTCACAATCTATAGAAGGAAAAGAGGTAAATCAACTTAAGACAGTAAATTTATGAATGGTACTTTCTTATCATTTTAATAATCTATACACCCAAAATATTTAAATTTATACAATATTTATTTCTGAGTACAATGAACCATTTAATTAAGCTGTTCCCTTACTATTATGTTTCTTGGTCTGCAAATAAAGCAGAAAGTCTTGTTTGTCTGATAGAACCTTCTTTAACTTACTTATTACTTTAACCGTTTTTTTCTTTTGAATAGATTGCCTTGATTTGAAGTCTAGTAGTAAATATAAATTTTTAAGTTTGTGAAAAAATCTATTTTTTTTTTTTAAATATATATAACACCAAGCAAGATAGGAATATATCACTACAACGTACATGGTTACAATATAAATAAGTTTTATATTTTTATACAAATATAAAAGAATACAATCATATATCAATATATATCATAAGATGTCGATTGACATTAAATTGATATTAATATATACACCACAAGCAAGTAAGAGAGATATATTATACTGTCAGGATATACAATATATATATATATATATACACATACATATTACATTTAACAATATTGACAGTGAAATATGGGACCGAAATATAACCTATAGCTCGTCTTAAATTCATACATATGGTAACCATATATAACATTGCTGGCATATATAGAGATCCACGACATGATACATATATATATATGCCATATCAGGACCTATCATTTATATATATATCTCTGGATTTTGTTGAGACCTGAAGACTTACATATATATATATATATTATTATCCTATACGGATGTGATTTACCACAGATTTCAAGGACGGACTCAGATTTATAATTTGTGTGTCCGATAACAGTAAATGCCCGCATTTTATGGAAAAATAAACCTAATTTGGTCAAATTCTATGAGTAATCTTAGTCGTTTCAGTCGAGCCTCATCGTCAATTTAATATACTTTTTTTTAATTATTTCAAATTTATATCACTATTATTTATTTCAATTTCGAATATATATATATATAATATATAATCCGGATACTTATCGAATTCTTTTCTATTTCTTTTTTTATTCTGCTTTAATCATTTAACATTTGCTTTTAATTTTTTTAATCCCCATTTCTCTCTTTGTTTAGTTTTTTTATTTTATTTTCATTTTCGCTTTTGTTGCTTTTCTCCAATGTTTTTCCTTCCTTATTTTGTCTATCTTTCTCATTGAAACTTTGTTTCCCTTTCTTTATTTTCTTTCTCGTTCTGTTTTATTCTTTTCTCTTTCTCACTCTATTTTATTCTATTTCTCGTTCTTTTTCCTCTATTTCTCGTTCTTTTTCCTCTATTTCTCTTTCTTTTCATTTTTTTTTTAACTTTTTCTTTACTATTGTTCTTTAAATTTTTTTTTTTTTCATTTTTTTCATTTGTTTTTCTTTTTCGTTCCTGCTTTTCCTGTTTAATCTGTCTTTCTTTCACTCCTGTTCTTTTTCTTTCTTATATTTCCTTTTCTATTTCTTCTTCATTCCTCTTACTTATCATTTTCTTTTAATACTTTTACTCTTTCTTGTGCTTTTTTCTGCATCCTCCTTTCATTTTCTTTCTTTTACCTTTGTTTCCTTCTTTCTTTCTTTCTTTTGCTTCTTTTTCTTTCTTCTTCTTTCTTCTTTTCTTTTCTTTCTCTGTCTCTCCTTTTGCTTCTTTCTTTCTCTGTCTCTCCTTTTGCTTCTTTTTTTTTCTTTATTCTCCCTTTTGCTTCTTTCTTTCTCAGTCTCTCCTTTTGCTTCTTTTCTTTTCTTTCTCTGTCTCTCCTTTTGTTCTTTCTTTTCTTTTCTGTCTCTCCTTTTTGCTTCTTTTCTTTCTTTCTCTGTCTCTCCTTTTGCTTCTTTCTTTCTTTCTCTGTCTCTCCTTTTGCTTCTTTCTTTCTTTCTCTGTCTCTCCTTTTGCTTCTTTCTTTCTCTGTCTCTCCTTTTGCTTCTTTCTTTCTTTCTCTGTCTCTCCTTTTGCTTCTTTCTTTCTTTCTCTGTCTCTCCTTTTGCTTCTTTCTTTCTTTCTCTGTCTCTCCTTTTTCTTTCTTTTCTTTCTCTCTGTCTCTCCTTTTGCTTCTTTCTTTCTCTGTCTCTCCTTTTTGCTTCTTTTTTTTTCTTTGTGTCTCTCCTTTTTGCTTTTTCTTTCTTTCTCTGTCTCTCCTTTTGCTTCTTTCTTTCTCTGTCTCTTCTTTTGCTTCTTTCTTTCTCTGTCTCTTCTTTTGCTTCTTTCTTTCTCTGTCTCTCCTTTTGCTTCTTTCTTTCTCTGTCTCTCCTTTTGCTTCTTTCTTTCTCTGTCTCTCCTTTTTGCTTTTTTTTTCTCTGTCTCTCCTTTTGCTTCTTTTTCTTTCTCTGTCTCTCCTTTTTTTCTTTTTTTTTTTCTCTCTTTCTCTCCTTTTGCTTTCTTTCTTTTCTGTCTCTCCTTTTGCTTCTTTCTTTTCTTTCTCTTCTATCTCCTTTTGCTTCTTTCTTTCTTTCTTTTTCTGTCTCTCCTTATGCTTCTTTTTTTTTTTCTTTCTCTGTCTCTCCTTTCTTTCTTTTTCTTTCTCAGTCTCTCCTTTTTTTTTCTTTCTTTCTTTCTCTGTCTCTCCTTTTGCTTCTTTCTTTTTTTCTCTGTCTCTCTCTTTTGCTTCTTTCTTTTCTTGTCTCTCTTTTGCTTCTTTTCTTTCTTTTCTTTCTTTCTCTGTCTCTCCTTTTGCTTCTTTCTTTCTTTCTCTATATCTCCTTTTGCTTCTTTCTTTCTTTCTTTCTTTCTCTATATCTCCTTTTGCTTCTTTCTTTCTTTCTTTCTTTCTCTGTCTCTCCTTTTGCTTCTTTCTTTCTTTCTCTGTCTCTCCTTTTGCTTCTTTCTTTCTTTCTTTCTCTGTCTCGCCATTTTGCTTCTTTCTTTCTTTCTTTCTTTTTGCTTCTTTCTTTCTTTCTTTCTTTCTTTCTTTCTCTGTCTCTCCTTTTGCTTCTTTTTTTCTTTCTTTTCTCTCTGTCTTTTTTTTTTCTTTCTTTTCTTTCTTTCTGTCTTTTTTTTTTTTTCTTTCTTTTCTTTCTTTCTTCTCTCTCCTTTTGCTTCTTTCTTTCTTTCTCTGTCTCTCCTTTTGCTTCTTTCTTTCTTTCTTTCTTTCTTTCTCTGTCTCTCCTTTTGCTTCTTTCTTTCTTTCTCTGTCTCTCCTTTTGCTTCTTTCTTTCTTTCCTTCTCTGTCTCTCCTTTTGCTTCTTTCTTTCTTTCTTTCTCTGTCTCTCCTTTTGCTTCTTTCTTTCTCTGTCTCTCCTTTTGCTTCTTTCTTTCTTTCTCTATATCTCCTTTTGCTTCTTTCTTTCTTTCTTTCTCTGTCTCTCCTTTTGCTTCTTTCTTTCTTTCTTTCTCTGTCTCTCCTTTTGCTTCTTTCTTTCTTTCCTTCTCTTCTCTCTTTTTTTTCTTTCTTTCTTTCTTTCTTTCTTTCTCTGTCTCTCCTTTTGCTTCTTTTCTTTCTTTCTCTGTCTCTCTTTTTTTATCTCTTTTTCTTTCTTTTTCTTTTCTTTTCTTTCTTTCTCTATATCTCCTTTTTTTCTTTTTCTTTCTCTATATCTCCTTTTGCTTCTTTCTTTCTTTCTTTCTTTCTCTATATCTCCTTTTGCTTCTTTTCTTTCTTTCTTTTTCTTTCTCTGTCTCTCCTTTTTTTTTCTTTTTTCTTTCTTTCTCTGTCTCTCCTTTTGCTTCTTTCTTTCTTTCTCTATATCTCCTTTTGCCTCTCTTTCTTTCTTTCTTTCTTTCTCTGTCTCTCCTTTTGCTTCTTTCTTTCTTTTTATCTGTCTCTCCTTTTTTTTCTTTTCTTTCTTTTATCTGTCTCTCCTTTTTCTTCTTTCTTTCTTTCTTTCTTCTGTCTCTCCTTTTGCTTTTTTTCTTTCTTTTTCTTTCTCTGTCTCTCCTTTTGCTTCTTTTTTTCTTTTTTCTTCTCTCCTTTTTTTCTTTTTTTTTTTCTTTTTCTTTTTTTTTTCTTGTTTCTTTCTTTTGCTTCTCTTTCTTTTTTTTTCTTTCCTTTTGCTTTTTTTTTTTTCTTTCTTGTCTCTCTTTTTTCTTTCTTTCTTTTTAGTCTCTTTTTCTTTTTTTTAGTCTTCCTTTTGCTTTTTTTTAGTCTCTCCTTTTTTTTCTTTTTTTTTTAGTCTCTCCTTTTGCTTCTTTTTTTTTTTTTCTCTCTTTTTGCTTCTTTTTTTTTCTTTCCCTTTCTTCTTTTTTTTTTGTTCCCCTTCTTTTTTTTTTGTCTCTCCTTTTTTTTTTTTTTTCTTTTTTTTTTTTTTTTTTCTCCTTTTTTCTTTTTTTTTTTTAGTCTCTCCTTTTGTTTTTTTTTTTTTCTTCCTTTTGCTTCTTTTTTTTTAGTCTCTCCTTTTGCTTCTTTTTTTTTAGTCTCTCCTTTTGCTTTTTTTTTTAGTCTCTCCTTTTGCTTCTTTTTTTTTAGTCTCTCCTTTTGCTTCTTTTTTTTAGTCTCTCCTTTTGCTTCTTTTTTTTTTTTAGTCTCTCTTTCTTTTTTTTTTTTTTTAGTCTCTCCTTTTGCTTCTTTTTTTTTTTTTTTCTCCTTTTTTTTGCTTTTTTTTAGTCTTTCTTTTTTGCTTTTTTTTTTAGTCTCTCCTTTTGCTTCTTTTTTTTTAGTCTCTCCTTTTGCTTTCTTTTATTTTTAGTCTCTCCTTTTGCTTTCTTTTATTTTTAGTCTCTCCTTTTGCTTCTTTCTTTCTTTGTCTCTCCTTTTGCTTCTTTTTTTTTTTGTCTCCTTTTTTGCTTTTTTTTTGTTTTTTGTCTTTCTTTTTTTTTTTTGTCTCCTTTTTAGTTCTTTCTTTCTTTGTTTCCCTTATTTTTTTTCTTTGTCTCCCTTATGCTTTTTTTTTCTTTCTCTCCTTTTTTCTTCTTTCTTTCTTTGTCTCCCCTTATGCTTCTTTCTTTCTTTGTCTCCCCTTATGCTTCTTTTCTTTCTTTTTCTCTCCTTTTGCTTCTTTCTTTCTTTGTCTCCCCTTATGCTTCTTTTTTTTCTTTCTTTTGTCTCCTTTATGCTTCTTTTTTTTTTTGTCTCCCTTCTTCTTTTCTTTTTTTCTTTATCTCCCTTTATTTTTTTTTTTTTTGTCTCCCCTTACTCTTTTGCTTTTTTTTTTTTAGTCCCTTTTGCTTCTTTTTTTTTTTCTTTCCTTTTGCCTTTTTTTCTTTTTTTTTCTCTCCTTTGCTTTTTTTTTTTTCTCTCCTTTTGACTTTTTTTTAGTCTCTCCTTTTTTTTTTTTTTTTTCTCCTCCTTTTTTTCTTTTTTTTTCTTTCCTTTTTTTTTTTAGTCTCTCCTTTTGTTTTTTTTTAGTCTCTCCTTTTTGTTTTTTTTTTCTCTCCTTTGCTTTTTTTTTTCTTTTTTTTTTTCTTTTTTTAGTCTCCTTTTGTTTTTTTTTTTTCTCTTTTTGCTTCTTTTTTAGTCTCTCCTTTTTTTTTTTTTTTTTAGTTTTTTCCTTTTTTTTTTTTTTTCTTTCTTTCTTTTTTTCCTTTTTTTTTTTAGTCTCTCCTTTTTTCTTTTTTTTTTAGTCTCCTTTTGCTTCTTTTTTTTTTCTCTCCTTTTGTTTCTTTTTTTTTTTTAGTCTCTTTTTTTTTTTTTTTTTTTAGTCTCTCCTTTGTTTTTTTTTTTAGTTCCTTTTTTCTTTTTTTTTTTTCTCTTCTTTTGCTTTTTTTTTTTTTTCTTTCTTTTGCTTTTTTTTTTTTAGTCTCCTTTATGCTTTTTTTTTTTTTTCGTCTCTCCTTTTTCTTTTTTTTTTTTTAGTCTCCTTTTGCTTTTTTTTTTTCTTTCTTTTTTGTCTTTTTTTTTTTAGTCTCTCCTTTTTTTTTTTTTAGTCTTCTTTTCTTTTTTTAGTCTCCCCTTTTGCTTTTTTTTTTTCTTTCCTTTTCTTTTTTTTTTTATCTCCTTTTGCTTCTTTTTTTTTTAGTCTCTCCTTTTGCTTCTTTTTTTTAGTCTCTCCTTTTGCTTCTTTTTTTTAGTCTCTCCTTTTGCTTCTTTTTTTTAGTCTCTCCTTTTGCTTCTTTTTTTTAGTCTCTCCTTTTGCTTTCATTTTTTTAGTCTCTCCTTTTTTCTTTTTTTTTTTATTCTTCTTTTTTTCTTTTTTTTAGTCTCCCTTTTGCTTCTTTTTTTTTTTAGTCTCTTTTTTGCTTCTTTTTTTTTCTTCCTTTTTTCTTTTTTCTTTCTTTATCTCCCTTTGCTTCTTTCTTTCTTTTATTTTTTTTCTTTTTTTAGTCTCCTTTATTTCTTTCTTTCTTTCTTTATCTCCCCTTATGCTTCTTTCTTTCTTTCTTTATCTCCCCTTATGCTTCTTTCTTTCTTTCTTTATCTCCCCTTATGCTTCTTTCTTTCTTTCTTTATCTCCCCTTATGCTTCTTTCTTTCTTTCTTTATCTCCCCTTATGCTTCTTTCTTTCTTTATCTCCCCTTATGCTTCTTTATTTCTTTGTCTCTCCTTTTGCTTCTTTTTTTCTTTCCTTTGCTTCTTTCTTTGCTTTGTTTCTTTCTTTCTTTTGCTCCCTTATGCTTCTTTCTTTCTTTTTTATCTCCCCTTATGTCTTTTCTTTCTTTATCTTTCTTTCTTTCTTTTTTTTTTCTTTGTCTCTCCTTTGCTTTTTCTTTTTTTTCTCTCCTTTTGCTTCTTTCTTTTTTTCTCTCCTTATTTCTTTCTTTCTTTTCTCCCCCCTTCTTTCTTTCTTTCTTTCTTTCTTTCTTTCTTTCTTTATCTCCCCTTTTGCTTTTTTTCTTTCTTTGTCTCTTTTTTTTTTTCTTTTTTTGCTTCCTTTTTTTCTTTCTTTTTTAGTCTCTCCTTTTGCTTCTTTCTTTCTTTATCTCCCCTTATGCTTCTTTCTTTCTTTATCTCCCCTTATGCTTCTTTCTTTCTTTGTCTCCCTTTATGCTTCTTTCTTTGTCTCCCTTTATGCTTCTTTCTTTCTTTGTCTCCCTTTATGCTTCTTTCTTTCTTTGTCTCCCTTTCTTTTTCTTTCTCTTTGTCTCTCTTTTTTTCTTTCTTTTATTTTTCTTTCTTTCTTTCTTTCTCTTTGCTTCTTTGCTTCTTTCTTTCTTTCTCTATATCTCCTTTTTTCTTCTTTCTTTCTTTATATCTCCTTTTTTCTTTCTTTCTTTCTTTCTTTCTATTTCTTTTGCTTTTTTTCTTTCTTTCTTTCTTTCTCTCTTTTGCTTCTTTCTTTCTTTCTCTGTCTCTCCTTTTTGCTTCTTTCTTTCTTTCTTTTCTTTACTTTTGCTTTTTTTCTTTCTTTCTTTCTCTGTCTCTGCTTTTGCTTTTCTTCTTTCTTTATCTGTCTCTCCTTTTGCTTCTTTCTTTCTTTTATCTGTCTCTCCTTTTTGCTTCTTTCTTTTCTTTCTTTCTTTCTCTGTCTCTCCTTTTGCTTCTTTCTTTCTTTCTTTCTCTGTCTCTTTTTTTGCTTCTTTCTTTCTTTCTCTGTCTCTCCTTTTGCTTCTTTCTTTCTTTCTTTCTTTCTCTCTCCTTTTGCTTCTTTCTTTCTCTGTCTCTCCTTTGCATTTCTTTCTCTGTCTCTCCTTTTTCTTTTTTTTTTTTTTCTCTCCTTTTTTTTTTTTTTAGTCTCTCCTTTTGCTTTCTTTTTTTCGTCTCCTTTTGCTTCTTTTTTTAGTCTCTCCTTTTTTTTTTTTTAGTCTTTCCTTTTTCTTTTTTTTTTTTTTTCTCTCCTTTTTTTCTTTCTTTTTTTCTTTCCTTATGCTTCTTTCTTTCTTTTGTCTCCCTTTCTTTCTTTCTTTTTTGTCTTTCCTTTTTCTTTTTTTTAGTCTCTCCTTTTGCTTCTTTTTTTTTTTAGTTTCTCCTTTTTTTAGCTTCTTTTTTTTTTTAGTCTCTCCTTTTTTTTTTTTTAGTTCTCCTTTTTTTTTTTTTTCTTTAGTCTCTCCTTTTTTCTTTTTTTTTTTTCTCCTTTTTTTTTTTTTTTTTTTTCTCCTTTTGCTTCTTTTTTTTTTTAGTCTCCTTTTTCTTTCTTTTTTTTTTTAGTCTCCTTTTGCTTTTTTTTTTTTTTTAGTCTTCCTTTTGCTTTTTTTTAGTCTCTCCTTTTTTTTTTTTTTTAGTCTCTCCTTGCTTTTTTTTTTTTTAGTCTCCTCTTTTTTTTTTTAGTCTCCTTTTTGCTTTTTTTTTAGTCTCTCCTTTTTTTTTTTTTTTTCTCTCCTTTTTTCTTTTTTAGTCTCTTCTTTTTTTTTTCTTTTTTTTTAGTCTCCTTTTGCTTTTTTTATTTTTCTCTCTCCTTTTGCTTTTTCTTTCTTTGTCTCTCCTTTTGCTTCTTTTTTTTCTTTCTCTTTTTGCTTTTTCTTTCTTTTGTTTCCTTTCTTCTTTCTTTCTTTGTCTCCCTTTCTTTCTTTCTTTCTTTGTCTCCCCTTATGTTTTTCTTTCTTTTGTCTCCCTTATGCTTCTTTTCTTTCTTTGTCTCCTTTTTTCTTTCTTTCTTTGTCTCCCTCTTTCTTTTCTTTCTTTGTCTCCCCTTATGCTTCTTTCTTTCTTTGTCTCCCCTTATGCTTCTTTCTTTCTTTGTCTCCCCTTATGCTTCTTTCTTTCTTTGTCTCCCCTTATGCTTCTTTCTTTCTTTCTTTATCTCCCTTCTTTTTTTCTTTCTTTTTTCTCCCCTTATGCTTCTTTTCTTTCTTTGTCTCCCCCATGCTTCTTTTTCTTTCTTTCTTTGTCTCCCCTTATGCTTCTTTCTTTCTTTCTTTCCTTTCCTTTTTTTTTCTTTCTTTCTTTTGCTTTTTTTTTTTTTTTTTCTTTCTTTTTTTTTTTTTTTAGTCCTTTTTTTTTTTTTTTTTTTTTCTCTCCTTTTTTTTTTTTTTAGTCTCTCCTTTTTTTTTTTTTTTTTAGTCTCCTTTTTTTTTTTTTTTTTAGTCTCCTTTTATTTTTTTTTTTTTTAGTCTCCTTTTTCTTTTTTTTTTAGTCTCTCCTTTGTTCTTTTTTTAGTTTCTCCTTTTTTTTTTAGTCTTTCTTTTTTTTTTAGTCTCTTCTTTTGCTTTTTTTTTTTAGTCTCCTTTTTTTTTTTTTTTTTTTAGTCTTTTTTTTTCTTTTTTTTTTTTTAGTTCTCCTTTTGTTTTTTTTTTAGTCTCTCCTTTTGCTTTTTTTTTTTTAGTCTCCTTTTTTTTTTTTTTTTTCTCTTTTTTTTTCATTTTTTTTTTAGTCTCTCTTTTTGCTTTTTTTTTTTAGTTTCCTTTTTGCTTTTTTTTTTTTTCTCTCCTTTTGCTTTTTTTTTTCTCCTTTTATTTTTTTTTTTTTTCTCTTTCCTTTTTTCTTTTTTTTTTTAGTCTCTCCTTTTGTTTTTTTTTTCGTCTCTCCTTTTGCTTTTTTTTTTTAGTCTCTCCTTTTTTTTTTTTTTAGTCTCTCTTTGCTTTTTTTTTTAGTCTCTCCTTTTGCTTTTTTTTTTAGTTTCTTTTGCTTTTTTTTTCTTTCTTTTGCTTTTTTTTTTTTCTTTTTTTTTTTTTTTAGTCTCTCCTTTTGTTTTTTTTTTTAGTCTCTCCTTTGCTTTTTTTTTTTTTTTCTTTTGTTTTTTTCTTTCCTTTTTCTTTTTTTAGTCTTCCTTTTTTCTTTTTTTTAGTCTCTCCTTTTGCTTCTTTTTTTTTTCTTTCTTTTGCTTCTTTTTCTCTCTCCTTTTTTCTTTTTTAGTCTTTCCTTTTTTTTCTTTTTTTAGTCTCTCCTTTTGCTTCTTTCTTTCTTTCTTTCTTTCTTTCTTTTTTTTTTTTTTCTCCCTTTTTTCTTTCTTTCTTTGCTCCCTTTATGCTTCTTTTTTCTTTCTTTCGTCTCCCCTTTGCTTCTTTCTTTCTTTTTTCTATCTCCCCTTTTGCTTCTTTCTTTCTTTCTTTCTTTCTTTTATTCTTTCTTTCTTTCTTTGTTCTCCCCTTATGCTTCTTTCTTTCTTTCTCTCCTTTATGCTTCTTTTTTTTTTTTTTTCCTTTTGTTTTTTTTCTTTCTTTGTTTCTTTTTTTCTTTCTTTCTCTCCTTATGCTTCTTTCTTTCTTTTTTCTACTCCTTATGCTTCTTTTTTTCTTTCTTTCCTTTTTCTTTCTTTTTTTTCTTTCTTTTCTTTTTCTTTCTTTATCTCCCTTTTGCTTCTTTCTTTCTTTTAGTTTCCTTTTGCTTCTTTTTTCTTTCTTTTTTCTTTTCTTTCTTTCTTTCTTTCTTTCTTTCTTTCTTTCTTTCTTTCATCTCCCCTTATGCTTCTTTCTTTCTTTTCTTTCGTACTTTTGCTTCTTTCTTTCTTTCTTTTTTCTTTCTTTCTTTCTTTCTTTTCTTTCTTTCTTTTCCCCTCCTTTTTCTTTCTTTAATTTCTCCTTTGCTTCTTTCTTTCTTTGTCTCCAAGTATGCTTCTTTCTTTCTTTCTTTCTCTTTATTTCTTTCTTTCTTCTTTCTTTCTTTCTTTCTTACTCCAAGTATGCTTCTTTCTTTCTTTCTTTTCTTTCTTTCTTTCTTTCTTTCTTTTTCTTTTTTCTTTCTCCAAGTTTTTCTTCTTTCTTTCTTTCCATCTCCAAGTATGCTTCTTTCTTTCTTTCTTTTAGTGCTCCAAGCATGCTTCTTTCTTTCTTTCTTTCTTTCTTTCTTTCTTTCTTTCTTTCTTTCTTTCTTTCTTTCGTACTCCAAGTATGCTTCTTTCTTTCTTTCTTTCTTACTCCAAGTATGCTTCTTTCTTTCTTTCTTTCGTACTCCAAGCATGCTTCTTTCTTTCTTTCTTTCTTTCTTTCTTTCTTTCTTTCTTTCTTTCTTTCTTTCTTTCATACTCCAAGTATGCTTCTTTCTTTCTTTCTTTCGTACTCCAAGCATGCTTCTTTCTTTCTTTCTTTCTTTCTTTCTTTCTTTCTTTCTTTCTTTCTTTCTTACTCCAAGTATGCTTCTTTCTTTCTTTCTTTCGTACTCCAAGTATGCTTCTTTCTTTCTTTCTTTCTTTCTTTCTTTTTTCTTTTCTTTCTTTCTTTCTTTCTTTCTTACTCCAAGTATGCTTCTTTCTTTCTTTCTTTCTTTCTTTCTTTTCTTTCTTTCTTTCTTTCTTTCTTTCTTTCTTTCTTTCTTTTCTTTTCTTTCTTTCTTTCTTTCTTTCTTTCTTTCTTTCTTTCTTTCTTTCTTTCCTACTCCAAGTATACTTCTTTCTTTCTTTCTTTCTTTCTTTCTTTCTTTCTTTTCTTTCTTTTTGCTTTCTTTCTTTCTCCAAGTTTTCTTTCTTTCTTTCTTTCTTACTCAAATTGTATGCTTCTTTCTTTCTTTCTTTCGTACTCCAAGTATGCTTCTTTCTTTCTTTCTTTCTTTCTTTCTTTCTTTCTTTCTTTCTTTCTTTTCTTTCTTTCTTTCTTTCGTGCTCCAAGTATGCTTCTTTTCTTTCTTTCTTTTAGCTTTCTTTCTTTCTTTCTTTCTTTCTTTCTTTCTTTTTTCTTTCATACTCCAAGTATACTTCTTTCTTTTTTCTTTTCTTTCTTTCTCCAAACTTTCTTCTTTCTTTCTTTCTTTCTTTCTTTCTTTCTTTCTTTCTTTCTTTCTTTCTTTCTTACTCCAAGTATGCTTCTTTCTTTCTTTCTTTCGTACTCCAAGTATGCTTCTTTCTTTCTTTCTTTCTTTCTTTCTTTCTTTCTTTTCTTTCTTTTTTTCATACTCCAAGTATACTTCTTTCTTTCTTTCTTTCTTTCTTTCTTTCTTTCTTTCTTTCTTTCCAAGCTTTCTTTCTTTCTTTCTTTCTTTCTTTCTTTCTTTCTTTCTTTCTTTCTTTCTTACTCCAAGTATGCTTCTTTCTTTCTTTCTTTCGTACTCCAAGCATGCTTCTTTCTTTCTTTCTTTCTTTCTTTCTTTCTTTCTTTCTTTCTTTCTTTCATACTCCAAGTATGCTTCTTTCTTTCTTTCTTTCGTACTCCAAGTATGCTTCTTTCTTTCTTTCTTTCTTTCTTTCTTTCTTTCTTTCTTTCTTTCTTTCTTTCTTTCATACTCCAAGTATGCTTCTTTCTTTCTTTCTTTCTTTCTTTCTTTCTTTCTTTCTTTCTTACTCCAAGTATGCTTCTTTCTTTCTTTCTTTCTTTCTTTCTTTCTTTCTTTCTTTCTTTCTTACTCCAAGTATGCTTCTTTCTTTCTTTCTTTCTTTCTTTCTTTCTTTCTTTCTTTCTTTTTTCTTTTCTTACTCCAAGTATGCTTCTTTCTTTCTTTCTTTCTTTCTTTCATGCTTCTTTCTTTCTTTTCTTTTCTTTCTTTCTTTCTTTTTTCTTTCTTTCGTACTCCAAGTATGCTTCTTTCTTTCTTTCTTTCGTACTCCAAGCATTTCTTTCTTTCTTTCTTTCGTTCTTTTCTTTTCTTTCTTTCTTTCATACTCCAAGTATGTTTCTTTCTTTCTTTCTTTCGTACTCCAAGCATGCTTCTTTCTTTCTTTCTTTCTTTCTTTCTTTCTTTCTTTCTTTCTTTCTTTCTTTCTTTCTTTCATACTCCAAGTATGCTTCTTTCTTTCTTTCTTTCGTACTCCAAGCATGCTTCTTTCTTTCTTTCTTTCTTTCTTTCTTTCTTTCTTTCTTTCTTTCTTTCTTTCTTTCTTTCTTTCTTTCTTTCTTTCTTACTCCAAGTATGCTTCTTTCTTTCTTTCTTTCTTTCTTTCTTTCTTTCTTTCTTTCTTTCTTTCTTTCTTTCTTTCTTTCGTACTCCAAGTATCTTTCTTTCTTTCTTTCATACTCCAAGCATACTTCTTTCTTTTCTTTTCTTTCTTTTCTTTCTTTCTTTTCTTTCTTTCTTTCTTTCTTTCTTACTCCAAGTATACTTCTTTCTTTCTTTTTTCTTTCGTACTCCAAGCATGCTTCTTTCTTTCTTTTTTCTTTCTTTCTTTCTTTCTTTTTCCATCTTTCTTTTCTTTCTTTTCTTTCTTTCCTTCTCCAAGTATGCTTCTTTCTTTCTTTCTTTCGTACTCCCAAGCATGCTTCTTTCTTTTCTTTCTTTTCTTTTCTTTCTTTCTTTCTTTCTTTCTTTCGTTCGTTCCATACTCTTAGTAACTTTCATTTTTGTCATTGCGTACTCAAAATATCTTTCCTTCCTTCCTTCCTTCCTTCCTTCCTTCCTTCCTTCCTTCCTTCCTTTTTCCTAGTCACATTCTGTTTTTGCTTGCTTCCAAATTTTCTTTTTCATCCTTATCTGTTCCTCTTCCTTTCTTTCTTTCTTTCTTTTTTTCTTTTTCCTAGCAACATTTTGTTTTCGTTTGCTCCATTTTTTTCATTTTAGTCCATGTCCGTTCCTCTTTCTTTCTTTCTTTCTTTCTTTCTTTCTTTCTTTCTTTCTTTCTTTCTTTCTTCATAGTCTTCTCCTTTTACTGTTTTTGTTTGCTTCCAAATGTTCTTTTTCATCTTTACTTGTCCCTCTTTCTTATGTTCTTCCTTTCTTTCTTTGTTTCATTCGTTCGGTCCTTTTTTGTACTACTACTATTAGCTTTCTTTCTTTCTTTCCTTCTTTCTTTCTTTCTTTCTTTCTTTCTTTCTTTCTACTTTTAATTTTATTTCTCTTTTATTTATTTTTCGGAAACTGTAAAAGAAAATCTAAAACAATTTCCCATACCATTCATTTATTTTTCATTACTTCTTCTTTGTTTTATTCTTCAGATATCCATTTTGGTTCCACATTTCACTAACTTCGACTGCTTTTCTTTTTATTCCATTAGTCAAACTCAATTTCTCCTTCTCTTAATTCCATCTTTCCTTCCTTCCTTTCTTCCCATCATGCTTTCCACTTATTTTTCAAGTTCCCGCCAATTAATTACACCTAAATAACTAATCAGGTCAATGTTTTAAACATTTCAATTAAATTGTCTGACGTTGTTCTTCAACCATTTTTATAGTTGTTATCCTGTCGGTTGTCGGGTGGGGATGTGGGGGTAACGAACGGGGTGGTGGGTTAGACTTAGAGCCCTCACTCAAAACTAAGAGTAGCCTTTTTGTCTGTATAATTTTCCCCTTCAAGAGGAAAAAAAATGATAGAAAATATCAAACAGGAAAAGATAATAGCAATTACCCAGATGTTAGGATTTTTTTTTTTTTTATCAAAATAAATGAATTTTGATTTTTTCTTTTTGTTTTTTTTTTGTCTGGCCAGGTTAAACGATTTCTGCCAATGACAAATGATAGTTTTGTTTTTGTGGTCTTTGTTGTTGTTGTTTTTTGTATCAGGTGAAATCTCCGCGTGCCCACATTGTAGAGATAACACAAAATGGCGTAGAATTAAAATTTCAGGCACACACAAAAACACATAACACTTGAACAACGAAAGTGCAAATAGTATATGATGTCAGTACTAAACTGTTGAAGAAAGGTGTTATATTATGTAAATAATATATATATATATATATATATATATATATATATATATATATATATATATATATATATATATAATATTGGAAACAATATGAATCAGCTATGGATAAGAGACTGCTATAGCCTTGGAGACAGCTGGTCTAGGAGGAAAAGACAACTCTGAATCAAAACCTGGAGGGTCGTTTGGGGACCTTGGCACGTAGTGCACCAGGTCTCTGAATTCAACCTTCAAAAGTAATGGATAATACAAAACCTTCACCACTATAATCAAATCTCATGTGCTGTTGTCAGACTGTCACCACATAGGAATTCGACAGGAGCCGAACCATATATATATATATATATATATATGTATATATATATATATATATATATATATATATATTCTTTCCAAACAATTTTAATCTGTAAAATTTAAATGCAATGTCAATCAATCTATAATCCTCCTTTACTCTTTTCTCTTCCCCCATATTAATGTCTGTTCGTAATTCTTCGACACCTAGTAACACTTGTCTCTTACTTGTTTTTTACTGCCTTGCGTAGCATAAAACCGATATATATATATATATATATATATATATATATATATATATATCAATGAAGATTGAACATTCAGAGGCGACAGGCTGTTTCATGCTGGACACAATCGTCAGGCGGCATGAACAATAAAAAAAATATTAAAAAATGAAAATCTTCAGACACGCTGGGTTATAGATTAATATTCTTTCGTTTTTTTTTATTATTATTTCATTTAGATTCCTCGACTAGTTTCGGCCAAAACGGCCATCATCAGGAGAAGAAATATTTCTGCTTGCTGGTAGCAGTAAACTACAGAAATGAATGTCTTGATGGAGAAAATGAACTTTTGTCTGTAGTTTTCATTTGTTTTTGTATTTTTTTTTATCTTTTTAACATGAACCTTTTAACATTCCTTGTTTTGGTCAAACAGTCTCTTTTAAGTTGTTATTTGAGATAAGAGCTGGATAGATACATATTATTCTGAATTCTCTGGTCAATTTGACAGTTTTATATATATATAAAAGCTATCACTCGAAATGCTCTCAAAATTTCTTTACTCTATATCCTTTTTTGACCCAGCTAATGCTCGTGAGGAGCGGCTAAGGGTCAATAAGCGGATGTGGCTCTTGGGGCAATGTTCCGAGGTTATCTATAAAACTGGATGAGAATCACTGCGGAACTGAGTGAGTAGCGGCGCTATATTGAGTCTAGTTTGTGTCTTCTTCGTCACTAAATACAGCTGCTATGACGTTTGCGTGGTATCGAAATGGTCCGGTTTCGATTCTCAGTAATGGATGCGCACTGCTGATGAGACACAAATAGGACCATACAGTGCTTTCTATATTCTGCTGGGCTCGATGAATTAGTATATATGATTACTCTAAATCCCTCCCCCAATTTTTTTAATTATTTCAAACGTTATTATAATGTGTTGTGGTGTCCTCCGTCTAACGAATCTATTGTGGACTCTTCCAATTACTATAAAATTAGTAGGAAAGTAAACCTCGGGGTAACAATAGTATAGTACGGAGGCTGTGATAGTTCGCAGCTGCTGTCGAAATCTCTACCCAAAGGAAGAGAGGAACACGGTTGAGGGCAGAGTCTCGTTCGGGCAGGTAAACAAACCGGAACCCATTTATGCGGGTTCTACGGGGATTTTTTGACCGAGACTACCGACTCGGATTACCCACGTTAAACTCGGCCTTGTGCCACATCTACCATCGTTGCTACTAAATATCAACAGTAGTATAGATTGAACGCTGGTCAACTGACACACATTCCCAAATCGTGCAATACTCTTCTGTTGTATTTCCTGTTCGATACAGGATTTATTTGCAACCTCTTGTTTTGTTATTTCTTGACCATTTACTTGGTTACAACATAATGTCTACTTACTCGTACTTGGAATAGATACCTCATTCTTATTTCAAACAGTGTCTATTTGGCCTATCAGCCTGCATATTCGAGACATCTGTACAAAGTGAATGTGCTCTCTGGCCTGAACAAAACCAGCGTCCTCCTTTGTAAGGGGAAAACAGCGTTTGATACGATACGCTTGACCCGAAGAGCGTCATGTTTCGGCAAGGATTTATTTTGCTGCCTGAACTGAGACGCTTCTGGTAGCCAAGCCCATCGATATCCCCTGGAAAGTGGCACGCAGAGCACATTTTCACTGTTTAATGTAAAAATAAAAATGGGACGTCTTTTAAAAATATGAGTATCCACAATAATAATGTTTGAAGTAATATATATATACATATATATATATAATTAACCTGATGATCCGGAGTCCTTTAAAAAAGGATTTTGGTGAAATAAATTATTGTAATAGTACCTTAATGTGGTCTGTTTTTCATTAAATATATATATATATATATATATATATATATATATATATATATATATATATTAAGATCTGACAATTTATTAAGTTTATTAACTTTGTCCATTTTCTTATGTATATATATATATATATATATATATATATAACATTCACTTCAAGCAAGGTGAAGATACAATACCACGTAAAAGGGTTGCACAATTAACAATTTTAAAAAGGGGTGTTTGAGTTAAAGATATAGAGGAGGATAGCGATCAGAAGATGTCGATTGTCATTACATTTGAATATTTGAAGATTATAGTTATTAGGAAAACAACTAATAGAAAGGGAGTTCCACTGTCGGGAAGTGCTAGACAAGAAGCTGTTGTTGTAGAATAGGCGGTTACATTTAATGGTTTCGACAGTGAAAGAGTGGAACCATGATGCCGATCTAGTCTTTGTTTCTTTTTCTGTGCCATGTCCTTTCAGGACGTAGGCAATCATGGCTCTCCACCTTTCCTCTATCCCTTGCAACTCTCAACAAATTCCTTCCCTCTTCTTCCTCCCCAAACCACGTTCTGAAATCCACTTGTTCAAGTCCGCTAGGTATGTCCCGCGTTGTTTTTCCTTGTCTGTCTTTCATTCTATTCTACCTGTGTGTATCAGATTCTCCAAGCCTTCCTTCCTCATTATGTGTCCCAGAAACTTCAGTTGCCTCTTCTTGATATTAAGTCTAATCCTCCTCCTTGTTTGCAATCTCTCTAAGACCTCATCGTTGCTAACATGTTCGGCCTATGCATCCTTCTATGGAACCACATCACTGACGCCTCGAGACTCTTCTTCTTCTTTGAGGAAACCGTCCAACATTCGCGCTGCCTAATTAGTAGCATGCTTAAATTCATGCAGTTGGGGTACCAGTGAACGTAGCTCGAAAGAGCAGTTGCCATGAAAATATATGTAGAAAAGACAGAGGGAAGCCACAACACGTTTGTGAGAGAGTGACTGTAGACAAGATGATGGCAGATCAGGATTTATCATTGCATATCCGTTTCTGGGTTTTGCATATATATATATATATATATATATATATATATATATATATATGTGTGTGTGTGTGTGTGTGTGTGTGTGTGTGTATGGAAAATATGGAAAGGACACACGGATGTAAATAATCTGGGGTTCTTTAGTATTTTAACTTTTATTAAAAAAAAAAACAGTGCTCCATACAGAAGTCGAGCTTAAATTATAATTATTTTTTAATATCCTTTATCAAAATGGTAGTTTCCATAGTAATTAATTTTGCTTATGAACATGCTTATAAAGATGCGTAAATTTCAAGATTGGTTATTCCTAAATATTCGCTTGAGGATGAAACAGGTCTTGATACTTTAGTTCAATATAATTTCAATAATTATATGAGCTTTTCGGCTCTAGTTCTTGAAACATGAGAACTCTTATGTAGCGAAGGAATCATATTTTTTAAAATAATTATATATATATATATATATATATATATATATATATAATACAGATGACGTCATTTGGTCACAATCAAAACTTTCAGCTCTGGATAAAATATCAGGATCTAGTCGAAGGTATTTTTCATGATTATTACAGAAAATGACAATAAAAATCAACCGATTAACATTAACTCACTGATATTCAATCCGAACGAGGAAAAAAAAGTCTTCAGTAGTTTGGATTCCTTCAGCAATTACATCTTTTCAAAGCCGCTATGAAGATCAAAATAATAATGCTGTTTTTGTTGTCGATAATGATGATGATGATCATCATCAGGAGGAAGAAAAGGAGGTGGATTACAATGATTCTGTCTGTAATGGCGGCAAAACATTATCTTTTTGTATATTAATCACTTAATCCAAAACATGCTTTAAAAATGACAATGTTTCTTCGTCGAGCGAGAGTGTCAGAGATGACAAATGATGGCGGCTTTTCCCGGGGCCGCATGGTATCATATCGTCTGTCATTTCTTGTTCTCTAATTAAAATACCCGGATTAGTATTAATTCAGCGGATTATTTCATTGAGGGCAAAAAAAAATAAAATAAAATTCTACAAGCGAAAAAAAAAAAGAAAAAAAAAATCTACAAGCGAAAAGAAAAAAAAAACAAGAAAATTAAGCATATTTCTGTCGTTTTAAATTTTGTTGCTTTTCCGAAAGATATTTGAATTTCCAAGTTTTGCTAATAATCCATATTTTTATGGTGGGTGTTTATTTCTTCTTCTTTTTTCATTTTTTAATTCTTTTTTTAATGTCTTTTTTGTTCATAGTTTTTCGACTCTTTTTGTTTTGATTTTTTAAATATATGTCATCTTCCGGAAATGACGACATATTTAATTATTCTATGATTCATTATTTGTTCTTTAATTGTTCAATTTGATATTACCCTGTGATTTTTCTGGATAATCAAAAAAAAAAAAAAAGTTTTTTTGCAGGAAGCTTTTTGACAATTAAAAGGTGTATAAAAATAATAAAAAAATAGTTCAGCTTATTTTTTAAATGAGATATCCTGGTATTTTCTAATTCATTCCGATATATATATATATATATATATATATATATATATATATATATATATATATATATATATATATATCAATAAATCATTCATACAAAAACAGATTAGTAAAATTTAATGATATAAATGGCGAAAATCCTTTCGCAAAACAAAATTTTAAAAGGTGCATTAACCTACAAGGATCACTGATGAATGCTATGATCCTTGTTCTTTGGTAAAATTCAGGTAGCATCCAGACAGAAAAAATTAAATGCGAATAGACATATATATATATATATATATATATATATATATATATATATATATATATATATATATATATATATGCATGTTTTTAAAAAAGAGAACAAGGAAACAATCTTTGGCAGAAGCATTTTTGTTCTGACTTTATCAAAACAAAATTGAAACGAAATATTTTTGTTTTCATAGTTACATTAAAATCCAAAATTTAAAAAGAGGGAGGTGTCTTTTCTTAAGCCTCTTTCTCGCTAATTTAACTTTATTTATACAAAGATTTTTTGTTTCCATGTCGAAAATATAGTAAATTTACTAAAACAATTCTATGGAGTTGACAAATTGGTGAAAGAATGATAGTGGCGGAAGATGAAACGCGCCGGGGAAAGCTAACATTCTTTCATATTATCAGTATATATATCTATATATATATATATATATATATATAATGTGTAACAGGAAAAAATGTAGTTTTTGCCGACGCGTTTCGTATTCTGACTTTATTAAGACAAAATTGAAGCGAAATGTTTTTGTTTTCATAGTTACATTAAAATCCAAAATTGAAAAAGAGAGAGACGCGTTTTCTTAAGCCTCTTTCTCGCTGATGTTAACTTCATTTATACTAAGAGATTTTTTTTCCATGTCGACAATATAATCAAATTCCCAGAAAAATTCTGTGGATAAACAAATTGCTAGAAGAAAAATGACAATAGGAAAAACATCTTAGTTTTTGCCGACACATTTCGTCTTCCGACTTTATCAAGGCAAAAGTGTAGCAAAATATTTTCGTTTTCATAGTTACACTAAATTGAAAATTTAAAATGACAAAACACGTCGGCAAAAGCTAAGATTTATTCCTATTGTTGTTCTTACGCCAATTCATCTTTATCACAGAAATATTCTGGGAATTTTACTATGCTTTAAAATATTCATTTTAAAATTTTATTTTAAATATTTAAAATTATTCTTTAAATATTTACGTAAGGAAAGTAAACGAGCACATGTTTTATTTGTTAGAATAAAGCTTCATTTCATTTAAAAAAATATATATATTTAGGCACCTCTTAAGGTTCCCTAAATATTAAGCTCCCGAAAATATAAAAACTAACTTGCTTTATTTACATTATTCGGACTGTTATCCTCATCTTCATTGCCATATTAACAACGTTTCGGCAGTTGAACGCCCCGTCCTTCTTCAGGTAATTAGAATTTCGAACCGAACTCTTCACTTCGTCCACTGGGGTAGATTGTTCTAGTTCCACGTTTCATGCCTCTTAATTTAAAACAGGGCGCAGCACAAGAATACAGCAATAAGTATTTATTATACGCATGTTTACATTAGAATGTAATTAACTACTACAAATTAAAGATTTTGTTTCGATATTTCGTAAAACGTCTCTTCAGGTAATTAAAATCATTATTAAGTTACAGAAGAGATGACCTTTATTTAAACGTCGAAACAAAATACTAACTTGGTAGTAATTATACTTATGTTCTATGTAACAGTGTATATATATATATATATATATATATATATATATATATATATATATATATATATATATATATATATATATATGTAACATAGTGAATTTACATAGTGAGTACCATATATAAATATGGGTTGGTACCGGAAAGACCAAGGGAGTAACAAGAGATCAAACGAGAGACTCTTGACTGCGATTAAGTCAACCCATTCTACAGGGAACAGTCTTCCCAAGAATATACCAAAACTAACTGTAAATATTGTGTACCTTTTCCTTGTTTCAATACATTTTGTTTACGTACATTTTGTGTTGTATTATTATTATTATTCCATGCTTATCCAAGCTTCAACAATATATATTGGCGAAATTGAAAAAAAGACAAACATATCTTCATTCAAACATGTTTGGTTGAATGATCTCGACATATTAATGTCTATTTATTTTTATTTTAATCCTGTCAATTTCTTAGTGTTGAGTATTAAACTGATTAGGAAAGACGCCGTAATTTTGGTCATTTCTTTTATTTTCACCAAGTACTTTCAAACTCATCCAAGATCATCTTCAGTGGTAAAATTCTAATACAAAAAAAGTAATGTAATCGATAGTTGTGAATTTTTTGTAAATTCGCATGAAACGCATTCCGTTGCAGTCAATTCAAAAATTAACTGTCAAGTATATGTAAGTGACGTAAGATAATATATATAGAGAGTGTAACCCGGATATAAGAGAGTTGTCGGGATCGGAGAAGAAGTCTCTTATATCTGGGTTTCTCTTATATCCGGTTTGGTCTATTATATATACATTAACACAGGCTCTAATTTGGGACCAGACAAAATCTCTCTTATATCCGGTTTCCTCTTATATCCGGTTACAATGTATATATATATATATATATATATATATATATATTACGTCAACATGTATATATATATATATATAAATATATATATATATATATTAAAGATAAATAAATATATATAATATATATATATATATATATATATATATTTAAAATAGATAAATAGGATAAAAGAAGAAAAAAAACAAAGAAAGAATGGAAAGAATTAAAGAAAACATGAATGAAAATAATAAAGATAAAATAAGAAAGAATTATAAAGAAAAACATGAATGAAGAAGAAAAAAGAATGAAATAAAAAAAATGATAAAAAGTACTAGAAAAAAATGGAAAAAAGTAACAAAAAAAGAAGAAAAATGAAAAGAAGGAAAGGAAAAAAAAAATTAAAAATTGAAAAAAGATGGAAACAAGTAAATAAAGAATGAAAGAAAATAATATAAATAAAAAAAAAAAAAAGGAAAAGAACCAATGATTGGTAAAGAAAGAAAGAAAAATAAAAAGAAAAAAATGAATGAAAAAAATAGACAAAAAAAAAAAAAAATAACGATTGAAAAAAAAGAAAAAGAAAAAGAAAGAAAGAAAAAAATAACGATTGAAAAAAATAGAAAAGAAAAAAAAAAAAAAAGAAAAATAACGATTGAAAAATAACGATTGAAAAAATAGAAAAAAAAAAAAAATGAAAAATAGAGAAATAACGAAAAAAAGAGAAAAAACGATTGAAAAAGAAAAAAAGAAAAAGAAAAAAGAGAAAGAAAAAAAAAAATTGAAAAAAATAGAAAGAAAAAAGAAAAAAAAAGAAAAAATGGAAAAGAGAGAAAAATAACGATTGAAAAAGAAAAAGAAAAAAAAGAAAAAAAGAGAAAAAAAAAAAAATTGAAAAAAGAAAAATTGAAAAATAAGAAAAAAAAAAGAAAAATAAAATGGAAAAAGAGAGAAAAATAACGAAAGAAAAATAACAAATGAAAAAATGAAAATAAAAAAATGAAAAAAAAAAAAAAAAGAGGAAAAAACGATTGAAAAAAAAAAATTGAAAAAAAGAGAAAAAATAATAGGAAATGAAAAGAGAGAAAGAAAAAAAGAAAAGAAAAAAACGACTAAAAAAAGAAATGAAAAAAACGGTTGAGAGAAAAAAATAACGAAATGAAAAAAGAAATAACGTTGAGAAAGAAAAAAGAAAAGAAAAATAATAACGATTGAAAAAAAAGAAAAAAAACAGTTGAGAAAAAGAAAAAAACAAATGAAAAACGATTGAGAAAATGAAAAAATAACGGTTGAAAAAAGAGAAATGAAAAATTGAACGAGAAAGAAAAATAACGTTGAAAAAGAAAAAGGAAAAAAAAACGATTGAAAAAAAAATAAAAAAACGGTTGAAAAAAGAGAGAAGGAAAATAATAACGAAAAAAAAAAAAAATAAAAAAAACGGTTAAAAAAAAAAAGAAAAAGAAAAAATAACGATTGAAAAAAAGAGAGAATGAAAAAATAACGGTTGAGAAAAGAAAGAAAAGATAACAAATGAAAAAAAAAAGAAAAAAAAAAAAGAAAAGTGAGAAAAAAAAAAATAACGATTAAGAAAAAAAAAGAGAGAATGATTTGAGAAAAGTGAGAAAGAAAGAGCCAATAATAACGAAAAAAAGAGAAAATGAAAAATAACACATGTAAAATAACGAGAAAAAAGAGAAAAAAATAACGAGAAAAGTGAGAAAGAAAAAAATAACGATTGAAAAAGAGAAAAAAATAACGGTTGAGAAAAGCGAGAAAGAAAAAGAGGAATGAATAATAACGATTGAAAAAAAAGAGAGAATGAAAAATAACGGTTGAGAAAAGTGAGAAAGAAAGAAATAATAATGATTGAAAAAGAGAGAAATGAAAATTGAAAAAAGAAAAGAAAAGAGAGAATAATAAAAATTGAAAAAAAAGAGAAATGAAAATAACGGTTGAAAAGAAAAGAAAAAAGAGAATGAATAATAACGATTGAAAAAAGAGAATGAAAATAACAGTTGAGAAAGAAAAAGAGGAAAAAATTGAAAAAAGAGAATGAATAATAACGATTGAAAAAAGTGAAAAAAAAGAGAATGAATAAAATAAAGAGAGAATGAAAACGGTTGAGAAAAAAAGAAAAAAAAGAGAATGAATAATTAACGATTGAAAAAAAGAGAGAATGAAAATAACAACGTTGAAAAAAGTGAAAAATAACGAGAGAAAAGAATAATAACGATTGAAAAAAAAGAGAGAATGAAAAATAACGGTTGAGAAAAGTGAGAAAGAAAAAGAGAGAATGAATAATAACGATTGAAAAAAAAGAGAGAAAGAAAAATAACGGTTGAGAAAAGTGAGAAAGAAAAAGAGAGAATGAATAATAACGATTGAAAAAAAAAAACAGTTGAGAAAAGTGAAAAATAATAACGAAAAAAAAAAAAATAACGGTTGAGAAAGAAAAGAAAAAGAGAGAATAATAACGATTGAAAAAAAAGAGAATGAAAATAACGGTTGAAAAAAAAGAAAAAGAGAAAAATTAAAAATTGAAAAAGAGAATAAAATAACGATTGAAAAAAAAGAGAGAATGAAAAATAACGGTTGAGAAAAGTGAGAAAAGAAAAAGAGGGAATGAATAATAACGATTGAAAAAAAAGAGAGAATGAAAAATAACGGTTGAGAAAAGTGAGAAAGAAAAAGAGGGAATGAATAATAACGATTGAAAAAAAAGAGAGAATGAAAAATAACGGTTGAGAAAAGTGAGAAAGAAAAAGAGAATGAATAAAAAACGATTGAAAAAGAAAAGAAAAAAAAATAACGATTTGAGAAAAATGAGAAATAAAAAAGAGAATGAATAATAACGATTGAAAAAAGAGAAAGAAAAATAACGGTTGAGAAAAGTGAGAAAGAAAAAGAGAGAATGAATAATAACGATTGAAAAAAAAGAGAGAATGAAAAATAACGGTTGAGAAAAGTGAGAAAGAAAAAGAGAGAATGAATAATAACGATTGAAAAAAAAGAGAGAATGAAAAATAACGGTTGAGAAAGAAAGAAAAGAAAAAAGAGAATGAATAATAACGATTGAAAAAAAGAGAATGAAAATAATGAAAAATAAAAAGAATGAATGAATAACGATTGAAAAAAGAAAGAAAAAATAACGGAAGAAAAAGTGAATAAAAAGAACGATTGAAAAAAAAGAGAGAATGAAAAAATAACAGTTGAGAAAAAGGGAGAAAAGAAATGAAAACGATTGAAAAAAAAATAGAATGAAAAATGAAAAAAAAGAAAAAGAATGAAAATAACGATTGAAAAAAGAATGAAAAATAAAGAAAAAGAAAGAAAAACAGAGAACAATAATAACGATTGAAAAAAAGAGAGAATGAAAAATAACGGTTGAGAAAAAAAGAAAAAGAAATGAATAACGATTGAAAAAAAGAGAATGAATAATAACGGTTGAAAAAGAGAAAGAAAAGAAGAAAAAATAACGGTTGAAAAAAAGAAGAATGAAAATAACGAAAAGTGAGAAAGAAAAAGAATGAATAACGATTGAAAAAAGAGAGATGAAAATAACGGTTGAGAAAAATAACAGAAATGAATAATAACAAAGAAAAAAAAGAGAATGAAAAATAACGGTTGAGAAAAGTGAGAAAGAAAAGAAAGAATGAATAATAACGTTGAAAAAAAGAGAAATGAAAAAAACGGTTGAAAAAATAGAAAAAAAGAGAAATGAATAATAACGATTGAAAAAGAGAAAAAAATAACGGTTAGAAAAGTAAAGAAAAAGTTGAAAAAAAAAAGAAAGAGAAAAAAAAACGAGAATGAATAATAACGATTGAAAAAAAAGAGAAAGAAAAAAGCGAGAAAGAAAAATAATACAAAGACATTATGAAACGTGAATGAAATATGCAATGAATGAATGAATATAAGAAAAAAACTAAAATTAAAGAGAAAAGGAAAAAGAATGAATGAAATAGAGAAGAAAGAAAACTAAAGAAAACCTAATGAATGAAACAGAGAAATAGAAATAAAGAGAGAAAGAAAAGTAGAAAGAAATAGAAGAAAGGAAGAAAGAAAGATTGAAGTAAAGAAGAATAAAAACAAGAAAGAAATAAAAAGTAAAAGAAAAAAGAAAAGAAGAAAGGAGGGCAAGGAAGAAGATAAGGATATTCACTTTAGGATTCAAAAATTAATCATTGGATTAATTACGTTTAAAATATCATATCCTTTTGTCTTTCTCATTTCCAATTAAACATAATGAGGTTTTTTGTTCTTACGTTTGACTGCATATTTAAAATACAATGCGTAAAGTGATTATTTGTTAAATCAACAAGAAAGAATGGAAGAGGCACAATTGAACAAGAAACTGGAGAGGTAGCCAGGAACAAGCGAAAGAGAAAAACAGACGAACGTCAAAGAAATTCGGTTAGGTGCCGTTAAAATAAAATTGAAAAAACAACAACATTGTTGTTAATATTGTCATCGCATCTCCCAATGCTTCATGTCAGCAAGATAAATAAAATATGATTGTAAAAGAAATCTACCATTAAAGCCACCAAGTCTTCCATGATTATTGCCATATTTTATGGCAAACAACTGCATTGCTTTACTATTTAGATTTAATACGACAGGATGGAGCCAGGAGTTAAGTCATTGTTCCGATGAGTTAGATCATATTTGCGATGAGTTAGGTCATTGTTCTGAAGAGTTAGGTCATATTTCCAATGAGTCAGGTCATACTTCCGATGAGTTAGGTCATTGTTTCGTTGAGTTAGGTCATACTTCAAATGAATTAAGTCATTGTTCCAAAGAGTTACGTCATTGTTCCGATGAGCTAGGTCATAAGTCCGATGAGTTAGGTCATATTTGCAATGAGTTACGTCATATTTCCAATGAGCAAGGTCATATTTCAGATGAGTTAGGTCACTGTTCCGATGAGTTAGGCCATATTTCCGATAAGTTAGGTCATATTTCCGATGAGTTAAGTCATTGTTCGGATGAGTTTTGTCATATTTCCAATGAGTTCGGTCATATTTCCGATGGGTTAGGTCATTATACCAATAAGTTAGCCCATATTTCCGATGACTTGGGTCCTATTCCTGATGAGTTAGGTCATTGCCTCGATGAGATTTCCTCTTTGGTATTTCGATTTCACGAATTTCAGCGTAGTACTAGATTGGCAGTTAGGTCTCGTCATATTACTGTTGAAATCTGTAGAAGCAACCGTAAGTTATTGTTTCATCTCTCGCTTGTGTAACTCTCTTCGGACTTTGTAATTTCCTGTCAAATACAATCTTCAAAAATTGAAATGCAACGTCAATTTTTTTATAATCATTTCACCCCAAGTAAATCAATAAAGCCACTAAGACGCAAAGGGTTACTCAGTGGGAGAGAATATGAGATATAAAAAAAAACACTATTAAAAAGAGAGAACAATAAAAGAACAGGAATTAAGAAAAAAAAAGATGCATTTAAAAGTTTGAAAAACTTGTCTGGAAAGTCAGAAGCCGGAAGAGAGTTCCACAAGTGAGAAGTATGAGAAAAGAATCTTTTAGCATAGAACTTAAGGTTGCATCTAAAATATTTTGCAAAGTACTTTCTGCAGATTAAAAAGCTATTGTAAAATTTTAAGACAAATAACAGAATGTCAAAAATATTTGGCTGTTATATATTTTTTCCTGATTTACTCGGAAAGATCTGGTAAAATAATATTTCGTGGCACTTTCGGCTTCTTAGTAACTCTCTTCATCCTTTGAAACTGTTGCCTAACGTTGGCAAAATGTTATTTCAGCTTAGACATTGCTTTGGGATGGAATTTTCGAAGTTCAAAGTTAACTGAGAAGCAATAAGCCGGAATAAAGCTCCACAAGCAAGGAGTGCTACAGAAGCAACCACCAGAACTTATGGTTACATCTAGCCATGCCAAGAGTAAAATGATGGGACCTAGCCGCTTGTCTAGTATGGCGCTAAAAATCATAACCTCTAAGTACATGGAGGAAAGTAATATTTATTTTAATACAAAAATGTGGCACAAGGCCAAAAGGAGAGATAGTGGAAGGCTGGTCTTCTCCCTGTCTTATCTTAAACTTATCTAACCAGGATTACTGATCCAAACATACCACATTATTCCTTACACGAAAACAACACATTCTTACTTACCATTCTTACTACAGTTACCATAATACCTCCGAGTCTCTATGTAGTCCTAACTAGTTCCCATATCTGCAGTTGGTCTGGGGGTATAAAAATAACAACATTTAAAAATGAAACCCCAAAGAATATTTACAATAAATCAACTTTATATACAAGAAACTAACAAAAATTATTAGTAATTAAAAAAATAAACGAAAAAAAAAAAAAAAAAACAAAAAAAAAAAAGCACAATCCTTAATAAATGACAGAAAAATCCGTTAACTGAACGAATTTAATGCGGGACTAGGTAATTAACAACATTCATAGAGAAAAGAACATTAGAACAATTACAATGAAACTATTTAGAAAAAAGGTACAGAGAATCTACATTATGCCTGTAGGAAAGTTTATATATATATAAAGTGAACATTGAAGTCAACACTCAGAGGTGACGGGCTGTTTTATTCTGGACGCAATCGTCAGGCCGCTTGGCGATAGCGTCCAGTATGAAACAGCCTGTCGCCTCTGAGTGTTGACTTCAATGTTCACTTTTATATTTATATTTACATACACTCTATCTCTGATATTGAGCACTTTATCCCATAAATATAGCACACCTTAAATCTATATTTCTTCATATATATATATATATATATATATATATATATATATATATATGTGTCCTCCGACAGAATCGAACCTGTATCCTAGACGAAACCGCCATATAGCCTGACATACTATACTAGTTTAGATACAGAGGAGCGTCTGGTTATCAACGTTGATTTTACCGCTTTTAAACTATAATTTTTCCATGATTTCTCTCGAACGCTTATATCTGCTCGAAGCGTATCTTAATATAAACAATTGACGTCACACACTACGAAATGAACAATGTCCGAGAATCATTTTAATATATATATATATTGTTATACGTTATTTATATATACACACATATTTAACTAAATGCTCTGTGTATAATAAACAGTATTAACGACATTTACCGAATTACGTTTGACATTGTATTTAAATCTTTGAAGATCAAAGCTGATTCTTTCTTAATTCTTCTTGTTTAATTGTTTTCCCTTCTTAATAATGTTTTTCTCATCAAGCAACAAAGATCAAAGTTGACTTAAGAGTGCCAAGCCGGAAGATGGCCCCACAAGCGTGAAGTGCGTTAGACGAAACTGTTAGTATAGAACTTACGGTTACATCTAGCCATTTTAACTGTAAAATGATGAGACCTTTCCACCAATCTAGGACTGCGCTTAAATTCATAAAGTCTAGTTACCATAGTGGAAAGTATTATTTATTTGTATAAATTACAAAATGTGGCACAAGACCAAAATGGAGAATGAGGAAAAAGGACGGTCTTCTGTCTAAACATTAAACTTAGCTAGCCACAATCACTGACCCAAACATTTCACAATATTCTTTATACCAAAACAACGCATTATTACTTACGATTCTTACTTCATCCACCATACTAATTAAATTCATAAAGTTTAAGTATCATAGAGGAAAATTCATCCGAACAATTACCATGAAAGTATTTATAGAAAAGGCAGAGGGAAGCTACATTACGGTGGTGGGAGAGGGACTGAAACTGAGATGCTAGGGCAGGACCAATAACATTGCAGATTCTTCTTTGTATTTTTAAATATATAGCAGAAGCACCAGACCAGATGTGGCAGCAATATTCGATGCAAGGATGACTTATAAATATGCAACATGGATTCTGGCGAAAAACACTGTCTAGCGCAGTGAAATAATTTTCCTAGCAGCAGAACTATAGCAATTGATTCAATATAATATTTCCATTTCATGTTAACGGAAAACTTAACTATTTTTTTGTCTGAGTATGAAGTAAGGAAATAAAAAATGACTGAAGCCGAGATGTTAGGACCAATAAAATTGCAGATTCCTCTTTGGATTTTACAAAACTAGATGTGGCTGTAATATTCAAAGCATGGATGAATGGTAGACTTATAAACATGTAAGATAGATGATGGTGAAAAAAATTGTCTTGCACGATACGCAAACCATCTTTTTTCTCAGCAGACTTAGCAACTGATTCAATATAACCTACACCCCTTACCATTCTCTGCCAAACAGGATGAGCTCGTGTCAGCCAACGGAAATAGAAAATTATATAAAGTAGGGATGACAAGAGTTTAGGCACCATCGAGGAATATTCATCAAAACAATTAACATGAAAGTATTTATAGAAAAGGCGGAGGGAAGCTATATTACGGCGCTGGAAAAGGGACTGAGGCCGATAAGCTAGGGCAGGATCTGGTGCGTTACATATTCTTCTTTTGTATTTTATTAAGAATCTCTAAATACATATTAGAAACCTTCGGACCGGATGTGACAGCAATTATTCAGTTAAAAAGACAAAAGCATTTGGCATTTTCTGTCTGCTTTTATTGTCTTTTCTCCTCCTCTAAAGTTTTCTCCGTTTCTTTCAAACTCGGTAACCCCTTGCATCTTAGTGGCTTTATCGCCTTACTTGGAATGAAATGATTATAAGATTTCAGGCACAATTGCTTACAGTCCATAGTATCCAGTTAAACGCTAGCCGAACTAATGAATTTTGAACCATTATTATTATTATTATTGTTTTATTTCCTTTTATTTCTGGTGTATACTCATTTCTTTCCGGGTCCCGACCAGAGACTTAAGGTCAGAAATGGCATCATCACATTTTTTCACTGAGCAATTTTTAAAAAAATCACATATTTTATATAGATAAAGCCTTTCGTAAGGTGTGGGCTGTCCTTTGGGTACATTTTTTTTGTATTTCTTTAAGGCATTGGCTTCCAGGAATCCCTTGAATGAGTCTATTGGAATCTTTTCCAAGTAATCCGAGGGCTTCAACTACAAGTGAAATTGTTAATGTTCTCATGTACCACATTTTTGAGATTTCAATTTCAAGGTCCTTGTCCAAGGACAGTTTTTTGAAGATTATTATTATTATTAGTAGTAGTAGTAGTACTAGTAGTAGTAGTGGTAGTGGTAGTGGTAGCAGTAGTAGTGGTAGTATTAGTAGTGTAATCATTTCTTTCCGGGTCCCAACCAGAGACCTAAGTTCAAAATGGCATCATCAAATTTTCCACTGAGCAATTTTGAAAAAAAAATCGTACATATTTTACATAGATAAAGCCCTTCGTAAGAGTTCTTGAGATGATCATAATGGATGGGTCAGCATTTTTATGGGCTAAAGTGTACGAAGCTTAATATAACGGTCTTGACAGTCAGTTTGATAAAGAAAGCCGGTTTTCGATTGCGAGTGACCCCAAGTATCTGATAGAGACTGCCCCCAGTCGCCGTTTCTGCTTCATCCTTCAAACTTAGAATAAAGACAGCCATCCCGACCTCTTTTCATAATGCTGTTCAATTACTCCCGCTCATAAACAGATATGAACATTACATCAGCATCTCGGAGCATGCCTGAGTGGTTAAGGTCAAGTTTGTTTGTTTTTTAAATTAACAAAATTAACTCTTAATTTAATAATTCATAATTTAAATATTCTTTTTTTTTAATGCCATATCTCTTCCGGTGTAAGCGATCACGACTCTCCTTAAATGCTTTTTCTTTATTATCTGTGAAATACCGAACTGGTTGCCAATCAAGGTAAGAATGCCCGTCTACCCTGCTATTAAACCCATAGCTGGTCGGAAAAGTCGATTCCACCGTTGCACTAAACAATGTAACTAACGATATTATTTTATTATTATACCGAGAGCGCATCATACCAACAAAGTGACGCTAGGGTACAAATATATGTCACCCAATATACCCTTCCCGACCTCATGGTGCTCAGTCTGATAAGCGTATATCACGCACATGCATCACAGGCAAATCTGCGCGATATGGTGAATGAATAAAATAAAATCAAACCTCTCGATTATGCTGGGGATTTTTTTTTATTAAGAAAAATAATTCTTAGTTTTAAAAAAGTACTTTTTAATAAAAAAAAAAAAGAAAAAAACTTTTTAATGCCGTATCTTTTCCGTCATATAAATAACGTAAATACTTTTTCATTTTTAACACGAAAATCGAGAACAAAAGAATAAAGAAACATTACTTGTAATTATTATTTCTGGGATGAAGAGTTACCATTATTTCTGTTAATTTCACAGTCTAATGTCATCACCTTTGATGATATCACAACGTTTCGACCGCTGTACCCTCCGGCATTCATCAGGTGCTTGTTGATCCATGTAACCTTCAGGGAATTTTGCAATTAACCCTTTATTCAATTTACGGATGAGATTGTTCTGTTTATAGACAAATTATCCCTAGACATAGAAAACGAAAGGAGTTCAAATGTTATGACTGCAAAAAAGATTTTCGTGTGATGTCACTAAAAATGATCTTATAATTCAGTTTATTAGCAAAGCTAATAAGTGCTCTTCTGGGTGCTCAACATTCATGACCTTGTGGCAAACTAAGTTTTTTTTTCTTTTTTTTAAATTAACAAAAATAATTCTTAATTTAAATATTTTTTATGCCATATACCTTCCGGCGTAGGCGATCACGGATCTCCACAGATACATTTTCCTTATTATCTGTGAATTACCATGACTTGGGAAAGGTAGAGAAAGGATTAACAGTTGCTTTCTCTAATATTTGAAATGTAGAGTAGTCCTCGCTTGGACTGGTTGCCACTCAAGGTAACAATGCCCCGTCTATTCTGTTATTTAACCCATAGCTGGTGGGGGAGAAAAGACGTGTTTATGGACCTAAGAGTAAATACTGCGAAAGTTAACGGTAAATATATGAAACCCAATATATCTATCATGACAACCAGTCTGAAAAGAGTATACAAGGCAGATGCATCACAGCCAAACGTGCGCGATATGATGAGAAGTTTTTGGTCAAACAACCCATAAACTTGCAGCTGCGATACGATTGGGCTGTTACGAAATATCTAGATGTATCTCCCAAGTCGCCTTGTCGGCCTCATCCTTCACATTAAAATAAAATTAAACCTCTCTGGTTATGGTCAGGCAAATGAGAAGTAAATCTGTGGTACAGAACGGGATATTTATTGTAGCCCGTCTTAATTCACCGAAACAAAAACATGTACATGTATATACTTCCAGTCAATTACAATCAGAAGCTATACCTGTGGCAACAAGACATGTATTATTATTATTATTAGTAGTAGTAGTAGTAGTAGTGGTAGTAGTAGTAGTATTTCTTTTTCTTTGCTGTTAAAATCATTTACTCTTTCATGTGTGACCAAAAATGTATCATGGTATTTCTTCTTCTTCTTCTTCTTCTTCTTCTTCTTCTTCTTCTTCTTCTTCTTCTTCCTCCTCCTCCTTCCTCTCTTCCTCGTTTTCTTCTTCTTCTTCTTCTTCTTCTTCTTCTTCTTCTTCCGACATTTATCAATTATTACTTATATTTCTTTACTTCTTAATCCTTTTTCCTCTTTTCCTTTTTCCCACTACGCTCCTCCTGCTCTTTCTCCTCCTCTTCTTGTTCTTGTTCTTCTTATTCTTGTTGTTGTTGTTGTTTGTTGTTGTTGTTCTTCTTCTTCTTCTTCTTCTTCTTCTTCTTCTGTGCCCCCTCATTTTTCTTTCTTTTCATTTTTTCTTTTATTTCTGATTCTTATACTTCTTCATTTACATTTTTTTTTTCATTTTTACTCTTATTCATCTTTGTTCTTTTTTCTTCTTTCTATATTCTAATTTCTTCTTCTTCTTCTTATTCTTCTTCAACGCCTCATTCTTCCTTCTTCATTCCCGGTTTTCTTCTTTTTCTTCTCCTTCCTCTTTATTCCTTTTTCTTCTTTCTATCTTCTAATTTTTCTCCTTCTTTCTCTATTCTCGCCTTCATTTTGTCTTGTTTTATTTATTTTTAATTTCTTCTTCTTTAGAATATTTCTTCTTCTTCTTCTTCTTCTTCTTCTTCTTCTACAACGCCTCTTCCATTTTTCTTCAATTTCCATCTCCTTTTTTATTCTAATTCTTTTCTTCTTTTCATAATCTACACGACTATCAAGAATGAGCAGTATCATCACCATAATCGACTTCATCGCTCTCTTCATATTTTAAGTTCATTATTTTGCCTAATTAAAGAATAATAAAACTGAACCTTGTTTTTTTTTCCCCAACAATATTTACAGTGACGTTCATTTCCGGACATTAATTTCATATTTCGTAGTGTATTTACTTTAGATCACCTTTCATTGTTTACAGTTTTCATTTGGGCCTCTGGATTCAGTCGCGTAATCTCATTTAGTGGCAATAATCATTAATATCAAAACCATATAAGTATAAAATTTTATATACATATATATATATATATATATATATATATATATATATATATATATATATATATATATGTCGCCATATTTGTCACAAATAATTAGAACAGTTCACCCCAGTCGAAATAAAGGGTTCAGTAAATATACCTGAAGAAGGCCGGATATATATATATATATACAAAGATGAGGACAATAGTCCGACTAATGTAAATACCGTACATAATACCTCATCTCAGAAATATATATATATGATATCTATCAAAATCTATCTATCTATATATATATATATATATATATATATATGTGCGTGTGTTAGCAGTCATAGAGCAAATACTCTATGTCAAATTTAAAATTTAATGCATTTTAAGGCCAGACAAATCTCAGTTAATAACTAGAGAGATACAAATGTTCAATTGACTCATCTCATTGACCGACTCCAGAGTTTCGCGTAATACCTTTCGTCGATGTTAGACATTTTTGGTCATATCGGTTTTTGTACTCGCTGTTTGTGAGTATAAAAATAGCGTGGAAAGAATGCCCAACACTGAGGCCCTGTCTCGAGTAGGTTTGCTCAGCATGTTCACACTACTCAGACAGCGTAGACCCGTTGATTAGGCCCCATCCATCGCATGCCAGACGGCCGCATCCCCAAAGACCTCCTGTATGGAGAGCTGGCCGCTGGAAAGAGACCCGCAGGGCGGACACAGCTGCGGTATTGCGATGTCGTGAGACGTCACATGAAAGCCGTGGACATCAACAAAGAGTCCTGGGAGAGCCGGGCAGCCATACGGTCCGAATGGAGAGGAACCCTGACCAAACACCTCAAGTCAGGGGAGGAGAAGCTAACACAAGTCGCCACGGAAAAGCGAGCCCGCAGATAGAAAAATGACAGCTCCAACAGACCAGAGACAGAACACCCATTCAACCTCTGCAACAGAGATTGTCACTCCAGCATCGGCCTCTACAGTCTCAGACGTCGATGCTCCAGCCAAGATGCTACCCATAGTCAACCCTGACGGACGGAGGCCTAAGGGAATAAGTGTAAGGAATGAAAGAGAAACATCAATTGAGGACTACCAACAGCAGCAACAATTAAAATGGATAGCACAATAAATTCGACGAGAAAATAAGGATATAATCAAGATGTTGATATTCCACTCTATATTTAGCAAGGAGACCCCAGTCAATACGAGAAAGCGGATACTGGATTTAAGAAACATTTTTCTCTGAAAAAAAATCTTTTAAGAGAAAGGTTTTATAAATTTCAAGTGAAAGCA